ATAGTGAACACTTCATGAATAACCCACAATTGGAAAGTTAGAAGACCAAATATTTAGCAAATGCTTACACATCATGAGCACAAATATTTTTTTTAAAGTATCAATTTCTAAGTTAATGGAAATGGAGCTGTCAGAAGAACAGAGATCTTCACAAAAAAGAAAAACAAGAAAAACGATCAATCATTTTTCTCATCAAAACATTCCAATCAGCTTTGTCTGTGAAGTTAAGGAAAGACATAAATTCATCACAAATATGCCTAATGAACAATTTGACCAGCTCTATTAGGTGTTTAGACCTTCAGATTCTTTATGTCCCTGAAGGAAGTGCTCAGAACAGATGTTTGATCTGAGCAAAAGTGCACCAATGAAAAATGTTAGGACAAATTCACCTGTAACATAACATTTCTGAAGTTCACCTCTGAAGAAATTCAATGGATTTACACTGGATCCAAGTGAGATCCTTACTCCTATGCTGTTGGTCAAAAATGTACACAATTTAATATGGAAGGAATGGAAGGAATAAGATACAGTCTAATACCTCTTCAGATTTGTACCAAAAAGGGAATTCAGTTAGATGAAAACATAAGCAAAATTTGCTACCAACTGCAAAATGATACATGAGACTGTTCATAGCAAACTCTGTGCCTAGAAATAAGCAAGTACAATATGCTTATCTGGCAAAATATTATTTTGCTAATTGAGACTGCTTCAACCTATCAGCCAGATTTTGATCTCCAGTATAAACTGACTTTTCTGGAGTAAAGTTAAGTTACTGACATAAAGGACTATGTAACTCAAGTTTAGAGCATTTAAAGCTTTATCTTCCAGTTAAATGAGAAGGATATTTCAGGCTTTGATCACTTCATGTCAAGCTGTGCCACAGCTAATCCTTGTATGAACAAGCATGCCAACAATCTCAGTTTGGCCAAGGCATTCATGAGTTTTCAATATCTCTCCACAGAGACAGCTCTTTTGAACAATGTTGTGTCAGTAGGTGGTACCACCTCATCCCACTTCTCTACACAATGTGCTAAACTGAGTTGCACTGAACACCATTTTAGAAGTGTCTCACATGCGGACAGAGCTGGAAAGAAGTGGCTAGCAGGTGAGGAAGGCTCCACTGAACAGCAGGGAAAGAAGCTACCAACACAGTGAGGGAAGAGAGAGAGCATTGAGCATAATGAGAATAAGGGGGGAAAAGGAAGAAGCCGAAGCACCTCTCATTCTGCATTAAAATGGGACTGAGTGAGATGTACCAGTACTACAGGAAGATGGTAGCAGATGATGGGCAAGAGATGGTGGACATCATATGGAAAAGAGGGGACTGGCATAGACTGTTTAGAGGTGAGCCCTCTGAAGAGAGCAATGATGACAACGAGTACAATGATGATGACAGAGAAGATGATGAATGATGAGTGAAAGGAGAGGGCAAACAGGTGGGGGAGTTTGAAAGAGGGGGAAGGAGGGGGGAAGGGGAGGGCACTTGAGGTAGTCCTGTGCATAACTGTGATGGTTAAAGGTGATGGTGATGGATGCACAGACACACGGGAATACAGGTCTGCAGTGTGGTTTTTGTAGCAGAATAAAAATGGTGAAACTGTAAAGGTGTGTTTTGGACTGACCACATCAGTCTCAAGACATGATGGTAGAGGTATAGTTTTATATAGATATATATCTATCTATATATATAGGTATATATATAAAGCAGCTTTTATATCTATATAAAGCAGTTTTTATATATATATATAAATATAAAAATGAGTTTATATATATATACATATATATAAATATACATATACATATATATATATCTATATTAGAAAAAGCTGCTTTTATATACATATATGTGTGTGTGTGTATGTGTGTGTATAAAATAAACATAAATGCTGCTTAAAGTGTGTTCATGGACTGTTTCCACAAAATGGTAAAATACATCACTTCTGGATGAACCGAGTCTATAGGTACTCATGGTAATTTACCTATGTGCAAATTACTACAGGTATGTTTGTTGCAAAGTTACTGTTTTCAGATTTTCCCCTCACATCCATGTGCTTGTGGAGAGTAGCATCTGACAGTAAAGGGGGCAGAAGCAGCTGCAGGGGGGAGAAGTTGAGTGTGACAGAGGGCAAAGGGGATACCTGATCTACCAGATTTTTTTTTTTTCTGCTGTACAAGTACGATGGGGAAAAATTCAAGACAAACCTCCAATAATTAGATTCTACACCTGGAAAATGATAAGAAATTTATAAATTTTCCACATATAGAACCTAATTACTGGGGGGTCATCTTATGTTTAGGGTTGTCTTATATTTGTGTAAATACAGAATTAATCATATGTACTCTCTTGACCATACGTATATTGGCCAAACTTCACAAATCTTTAATCATACTGACTATAATGGTTTACTGTATGTTATACTGACAGCTCTGATTGGACAAGAGGAAAAAAAAAGGCAAACACCTCAATTAAAAAAAAAGACTAAGATGCTTTAAACATCTCCTTAGGATGAGTATGCAGGTCTGGGTTAATCACAAGCTATACTTATCATAAGTGCATATTTAAAAACCCAAGCAAAGGCAGATCCATGCACAGCAGAGAATGGAACCTTGCATAAGTTCTGCTTCTCAGGTCAGAGGTGGAGGCCTTGAGATATTTACAAATTCAATGCAAAGAGCCCAAGGAGCAAAATTTAGCCCTTGGCACCCAATACTTGCCTAAGATTATTATGCTAGATTGAGTATTACCCTACAAATTACCTTCTAAAACAGCACAGTTTAGAAGGGTTGGGTAAGGAAGAAATATGCAGAATTATAATGAAAAGGGTAATTGTGGTAGATTGCAGCCTTCCCCTGGAATCACTAGCAAAGTCAATACCATATTTATTCCAACAGATAAGCAGAAGGAGCATTTCTCCTTGTACTTGTTTTAATTCTGCATACCCTCAGTGATAATAAACACTTAAATAAAATAACTAATGGTTGCACTGATATGTTGGTGAGGTAAGAGACAGACTAATGGACAGTACCTGCAGGGGTGAAGGTGAAGGACTGAACTGCAAAACAAGAAAGCAAACACACAGTGAGTTACAGAGCCTGTTAACAAGCACTAATTACAGGGCAGGAGGTTCCTTTGGAATTCACTCCTCTGTGGCTTAAATCATATATGCAGAGCATTACAACTGAGCTTTAAGCACTAGCCAGCCAGCAGCCAATGGGTTTGAAGAAAGGTGACTAGTGAATTCTGACAATTGTGTTTGATGGAAGTTAGTTTGGGTGAACATGCCAGCTCTCCTTTATAACTGTTAGCATAAACTCTTCCACATAGTCTCTTATGAGATTTCATTAAGAGCATACAGCATTTCAATGAGAATACTGTCACAATGCAATGTTCATACAATATGTAGATGCAGCAAACATCATGAAAGAAGAATGGACAACAATTTTTTGCAGTCATTTAGAGCTGTGTATTTAAAGGCCCTGCTCATGACAACTCATATACAGGACTAATAATTCCTTTCATGAAAAAAGAGTAGGTTTAGTAACTATTTCATCTGAAGAATATGAAAGAATATGACAATTCTGTTAGAGGAAAAAGTCTGCTAAATTTTTGCTTTGTTATTATAGCTAAATATAGAAGGTGATATAACTTTCTTAAGACGAATGACGCCACTTTGATGTGTGTGTGTATATGTTTATGCACACAAACACCCACCCATATGCATAGGTATATATACACATGTGTGCAGGTGCATGTGTGCATGCTTGCATGTGTATGAAACACTCTCCCCCTCTTATACTTGTGTGCATGAATTAACAAAATATCTCGGAGAACAGAAACTATCCTCATTATTAATTAAAAGGGAAGAAAGAGCACCATGTGCAAATAGCACTGCCTATTAATAATGTAGCTTCACCACATGGTCCCTAGGCTCTTGCTACATAACTCATAATCAACAGGATTTGGATGTTAAGTTTAGCATGGCATAATAATATATTCAGTAAACACGATTCAGTGGCATATAGTGCAAACCTGACTCAAATTGTATAGGGTGAATACAGTGCTAAAATCAATGAATGTATTATACATTTTCTTTTTGTGTAATATTTGCCACAGAGTTGGGAGTAGTAGAAGAGGGCAGCAACGTGAATAGATTCCTATGTAGTTCTATACTATTTATCTGTCTTTTTGACTGTTCAACAATCCACAGGAAACCTGAGATATCTCAGTAGGGTTTCAGTCCTGGCAACGCTTTGAATAAGGAGGCCTTCCCTTTCCCAAACTTGGTTCTCATAAGCAATATTGTAAGAATAGAAACAACTCTGAGTAAAATGTCATGCGTACAGTGCACCATGCTGTAAAAACAGCCCCCTCGACTACTTTCTGGCTTGTTTATCAGTAAATTACTCCTAAACTCCCACTGCCTCTAGATGGTCATGCCAGTGGGTAGGGGGCACGGAGCCAAGGCTCAGCTCATTCCAGTGATCACTTTCCACCTACCAGCTCCAATGGGGAGTAAGTGTATTGTTTGTTTTCTTTACTTCTATTTGCCTGAACCCAAGGTCTGGGGATGACATGGAAGTACAGGAGAAAGGGATTTCATGCTCCCTCTCTTCCTTTCCCTTGCAGGTGGGTAATAGGGTCTAATGTCATCATCAGGCTAAAAACTGAAGTGAGTAACTCAGAAGGCAGGGCCTTTTGCAACAAGAATTGGGCATGTGGTAGTTATTCCTCATTTGTTCCTTCACTATGCTAGATGTGCTGGAGATGCCAACATAGAAGTTGTCTTATGATAATGATGAAATGCAGTTCAAATGTGGTTGAGAGCAATGCATTTCAAGCTTCTCATACACTGGCATTTTTACAGCGTACAGCATTCATCCATTCCATCCTTTATGTAAAAACAGCATTGTAACTGTTATTGTATTTAATTCGAATTGAAACCACATGTGTTTTTATGATGGAACCTGAGGAGTTGGTAATAAACAGTGACTGTGCTTACCGGCATAATTGCTGAGCCCCTTTCTCTTCTTTCTTCGCCAATACAGCCAGATACTGAAACCCATCAGAATCACCCAGCATGCACCACCAATGCCAGCTATAAAGGCAGGCTGTTTGACAACGTCAGTGATTTGCTCAGTTATGCTGTTGTTATTTTCAGTGATGACAACTTCGTTACGGCCTCCTGCACAAAGGAACATCAATATAATCATATTTATAAGGTACAGTGCCATATTTATTAAGTACAGTGTAGAGAAACAAGGAACCAAGGGATAAGATATTTCAAGTGAAAAGGAAAAACAGCAATGTGATTTAAAAGAATGTTACATGGTGGGAGTCAGTGGGTAGGTCTGCAGGATATTCAAACACAGATCTGAAGGCAACATTCCTAGCAAGAGAAACTATGCTCCACTGCAGTTTTTCAAACATATATGGGAAGACAGCCTCTATTCCACTGTCTTCACTAAGCTAATAGGTGGTACCTCACAGTCTTCTCTTCCCTTTATTTGTACCATTTTCCCTGTATTTATGCAAAAGGAATGGCAGAATGAGAGAAGAGTTGCTACCAAACAAAGTACCTCCCCCAAGAAGTCACTGGATTATTTAATAGATGACTTTTCAAAATGAAATGTCTAAATGTACTACAGATACAAAATTTCTATGTCAACGGACATTTCCCAAATGCTTTAAATGCCTGCCAATTTTATCACTTCACTCTTTTTCTGCAAGTACTAGATTTTTCCAAAAAACCCCCAAACAAACAAACAAAAACCCCTAAGAGATTTTTTTAAATAATGGCAAGCTAGGTTATTTACAAAAAGTATTTTTCAAAAAATGGATTATTCCTTTTAATAGACCATAGCAAAAAAGGCATACAGAACTCATCCAGGACAATCTGATAGAAAATGGTGCCCTAATCAATCTCACAACTTTCTAAAGACAGGCTTTTATAATGGAAACCTTTAGATAGCCTAAAACGTAGGTGACCCTCTGTGCTTTACTTATATTAGGCATTAGGAAGTAAACATTAAATCCTGATTTAGCTTAATAATCATGAAATGTGTGAAAGCCACAAAACTCATGTGCAGCATGAATGCAGAATGTCTATTACTTCAGAGATATCTGACTTCCTACAGGTATCCAATTTTCTTTTTTCTGATTCTAATTCAACTAGATATTCTAGCTTGATAGCACAGACTCAATCTAAACTGCTGTCTGTAGATATGAAGTATGAAGTTCCTGGGCTGCCAAATACTGTGAATTCCCAACTGTTAAAGTAACTATCTCCAAATATGGCACCTTGCCCATACTGAGCTGCATGATGTCAAAAATTCAGGAGTCATAAAAATATCATGTGATTATCAGATTTAAAAAACTGTTAAAAAAGAATGGTGTGACATTTATACATATTTGATGGAATAGATCTGAATATGCTCTTTTAAAAATGATGACAAAATGATCCATCCCTAAATTTTACAGTGCTTGTATATTTTGGCCCATTCTTTCAAAACAATGAAGCGCTATCAAATGTCTGAGTTCACATAGAGGAGAGGAATGTGGTGCTGTGAACATTATATTACAAAATGCTAATTAAGGGACTGTACCATATACCTAGGAAGTAGCACATATGTGGCAATAAACAATTACATGGTTATTTGGTGGCAAATTGCTAAAAAAAACAGTGTAGCAATATGCCTTGCTGTGAAAAAATATGTACTCTATAATTCAGTTAAATTTACTGCTCACTTCTTGGAACAAAACTGATGCTGTGTCAGCATACTGGCTCTAGTCTAAGTTAAATAAGGTCATTAACTCAAGTAGATACATGACAGAAAAGACCAAGGGTCCAGTTCTTACTTCTGTTAAGTAATCTTTACACCACTGTGTATAGCTACATACAGAGAACCAAACTGAAAGGAGAATCATACTATGAGAACATGACCTCACTTTATTTATCTCACTGACCATGCTGTAACTTTCCCCATGCACTGATGCCAATGACAGCTTGGACTCTGGCTGCTTAGACACATGGGGGTGTGTGGAAAAACCCAGCGCCTTACTTTTCTCTTGGAGCATCCCCGCACCAAGTGCAGCACGTGCCCAAAACAGGCATCACGTCAGTTTGATCCGACTTGCCTAATGTTTATAGAGATGGCACGCTTCAGCTGGGCTTTTTGGTGCAACAAAAGGCCCCATTGAAACACACCATCTTTACAGATGGTGAGCGAGCCAGGTCAAAACTGACGCAATGCCTTTTCTGGAAAAGCACTGTTTTCTTTTGTTTTTTTTCACATCTGTCAGCAGCCTAAAGTAACTAGGACACTTTTAGGCCTTCCACTGTCCTGAGACTTTGGGTCAAACCACTAATTAAAAAATGTGATATACTATATACTAAATATACTATGTTGCTAAGGCCAGAGACACAAGTTACACATAAACTGGCTTAAGTGATCAGAAACTGGTTTAAACCTGTAACAGAACAGAAGCTCAGTGCACATAAAACAGTTTTAAAATGGCTGAAATTGGTTTAAGATAAACCTGGTTAAATGTAGTATCAGACTTACTTGATTTGGGTCAAACCGGTTTACAAAACTTCTGTCCCAGACCCTTTCCTGGTTCAAATTAAATCACAGTCCCCCAGCATCCTAGCGTGCTTTCCAGTTCTGGGCTTGGTTGTGCTATCTGCTCTAGATAGCAGGGCTGGCCCCACCCTTCTTATCCCAAGCTGGAGCAGCAAGGACTGGCTGACAAAAGGGTGG